ATTTTCCTGTGATATCCTACAATAGATTGAAAGTTCAGTAAAATAGTCATGATTCGAGAAGAGAAGACTAATGCCGCGAACCTTTTCAGGATTTTCATCTGCACTGTGAATTTTAGCCATGAGCAGAATATAAATTCAAATGGAGATTACCAGTTCGATGAGCTTCTTCTCGTAAAATGCAAAATTTGATGAATATTACTTTTAAGTATTGATCATGCTATTCGATGCATATTCTTGCACTGATTTTGAATATGATAATCATTTCTTGTAGAATTGAAGTTTTGAAAAAATTTTCTCAAATTTTACATTCTTTGCATCTTAAAAGATATAGTTATACATTTTTCATAGGATCCGTATAATTAAAGTAAAAAACAATATTTTGCTTATTAATATCTAGGCTTGATGCTGTTACTGCTTTAAATAAACAATTTGATAAACGACCAGAAGATAAAGCACGAGTATTAGCCCATAAAGGTTCAACACATGGTTTGGTACTTATAGAACAATTTTTTGTTAAACTTGTTCGTGTACCAGCATATGAATTTAAATTAATTTATTTAAAATTTTGTGAAGAAGCACCAACACAACTTGAACGTATGAGTAAACATATCAATGATCTACTTGAAAGTGTTCAAGTTATTTTAAATAATGAACAATTACCAGGTATTCTTCATTTACTTTGTTTACTTTACAATAGTATAACAGGCAAAACAATTCCTGGTCTTCATTTTGATTCTCTTTTATCTGTACTATCAACACGTACTCCTAAACAAAATACAACAATAGCACATGTACTTTGTCATCTATTAGAAGAACAATATCCAACATTATTAAATATATTTGATAATCAAATATTATTAAAATTAAAAGATTTATCATCAATTAAATATACACCTATTTATATTGATATACGTTTATTATATACACGTTATAAACAATTAAATACAACATTAAGAGAATTACAGCAACAATTAATTATTTTACCTGAACATATAAAGACAACACTTGTTGATTTACAAAGTATATTTACAAAATTATTTGATGATGAAAATAAAATAAAAAAATATGAAAAAGATTTATCAAATTATTTTTGTTTATGGGATTTATCAATTGAAACATGTTTTTCAACACTTGGACAATTTATTGATAAACTTCGTCTTGCACATATGCAAAATATTGAACAAAATCGTCGTAATGAATTATTATTAAAACAACAACAACAACGTTCATATGATAATCGAATTGTTCAAACACCAACAACAACACGTTTATTACGCAATTCTCAAAATCAATATGGTTCAGATACAAATATTTTTCGTGATCATCTTAATGTTCCATTAACACCAACAACAACACGACAACGATATAAAGTTAATAAAACTTCACGTGAACGTTTTTGTGGTTCCTCACGTGATATATCTTATACCAATGATGAACAACAAGAACCAATAACAACAACAATAACAACAGCAATTCGTACACAAAATTTATTACCAAATGCAATACCACGCAAACGTGGTCATTCACCAACATCAAAAATAGTTCTTACGAAACGACCATTTAATGCACTTCCAATATGTACAACAACAATACAAGATCAACAATCTGTAAATTATTTCATTGTAACTCTTTTTTTTTTGTATATGTTTCTTTTTTATAGGATGATGTTTTTCTTTCACCAACATTAAATAATGAACAAGAAGATAATAATGATACAGAAATGGATTGTTCAACAACAACAGAAGAAATACATTCTCTTGATAATAATAAGATTAATGATGATCATTCATTACCATCAAATGAATCATCAACAGCTCGTGTTATATCTGTATGTGAAATACAACCATCATTTTATTTAACAACACCCATAAGACGTTTATTTGATCCATCGAATGATCAATCAACACCAAATGATACAATTAGATCTGTTGAATATAAAAATAATAATTCTATAACACCACCAATAACGAATATTCAACATTCAAAATATTTCAATAATGAAAATGAAAATAATAAAGAGAATTCTCATTATTTATCAACATTAACACCAATGACATCATCATCATCATTATCATCTGATATTCAAAATACTACAGAGGTAAAAAAATCTAGTATATACAAGCTTATCTTAAAAACTTCAATAAATCATTAGTCTTTAATTAACTAACACATGTTTTTTGTCTTTGATTTCTATAAGTAATTGATTAAAATCTTTTGTTTTCTTCGTTGTTGTTTGTTTTTTCTTTTTGTTCTATTTTTGTTTGTTATACTTGGGGTTGGTCTTGTTTGCTTCTGCTACTTTTTATAGTTATTTCATTGGTATACGAATTTGCTTCATCATATTTGGTATTCAACATCGATAATGATTTCGTCAAAAATGTGGCTATGAAAACAAAAACAAAAAAAGGAAAATGATAATCAACGATCTCTATTTTTTTGTTGTTGTTAGAACCTATTTGTATTTTTCATTTTGTTCTTCAATCTAAGAAGATAACCTTTTTTTTATCACGTCACACATCTGATATTAAACGGCTACTACAATCAACAAATGAACTTTATACATCATGGCGTTGTGCGTGATTCAAATTGATCTTCTTCTTGTTTTTTTTTCTCCTTTTATGTTTTTCATGCATTCATGATTTTTTTTTTAACATCATAACGAAAAATTATTGAAACAACTTTATTATTGATTTGATTTGTTTTCTAGTTCTTTTTTTTTCAAGTTTTTTTTTCTGTGAAACAGTAGTATCTTGTGTTGTTGTGTTTTTTAGAAAGAGATATCTTTTCATTGATAAGCATTATATTTCTATTTTTTTTTTTGGTTTTGTTTCATTCGTTTCTCGTTTTTTTTTGGTTCATTATAAGCTTTATTTTTGATTTATTTCGTTCTTTTCATGTAGTTGCTAACACCGTATTTTGTATGAATGGTTGATATTCTAAAGCAAAAAAAAAAAAAAACAACATAGATGAATATAATATATGAACACAAATGCATGCATGATTATTCTATAGCATTGCTTAGTATTAACACTTTAGTCATAACTCTTAGGGTTTAGAAATTCTTTAATAAATAACATAAATAATTTGCTTTTTCATCGCAATTTATAACAAGTAAGTATTAATAAATGAATAGAATTAAAAGATCTTTCATTAGACAATCATTTATTCTTTAGTACTACTATTCAGCATTCTTTACATGAATAGTGACTGATACTATCGAACAGTTTTGAGACTTTGAACAGAAACGAAACTTGCGACATATTTCAAAGAAATATTTTCTAAAAGATTAATTGATTGATTTCAGTTATCGTCATTACCAAATCCTATTGATGATGATAGTCAACAATCTTCAAGTTCATCATCACCTGTCGATATTTCAAATGATGAAAATCGTTGTTTACCTACAATACCATTATTATTATCTGATTCTGAAACACTTGATGAAGGTTTTGAAACTCAATCAAATGTAAGTGAAACTGTTGAACTAACTTCACGATCATGTCCGCTTGAAACAAATTCAAATGAAATTAATGAAACAAAATCTATATCAACTGATGAAATTCTTGCTGATGAACTTACACGACGTCTTACATTCAGTTCCACTCGTCGCTTAAGTCATGATAGTAATATTCGTAATAATAATAGACGAATGTCATTGTCTAATGGTCGATCAGCAAGTTTATTGAAGACATCAACATCAGCTTATAGTTATCCAACATTTACTTTAACTGGTCAACAAAATCAACAAAATAAAGCTTTTACAAAACGTACACCATCCGCTGAAAGTTTACGATCAACATCAACAAACAATAATAATACAACTAATGGTATTCGATCAAGTCGACATATACAACGTTGTGCTGTATCTCGACGAATATGGACAGAAAAAGATACTGATGAAACATCGAAAACTACTATTAATACTTTTTCACCATTATCATTACCTCAATCATTGACATCACAAACTACAATAGAACCTGATGAAGTTTCATCATCTTCAACTCTTACGACTACAACTACAACAACTACAACAGCAATGACTAATCATCGTATATCTTCGATGAAACCTAAAAATAAATTTCGCAATCTTCAATCTATAACAGATTCATCATTTCGTTCATATTCTCCTATAATTCGTAAAGTTTCTTCTCGTCTTAGTCATGCAAGTTCATGTCAAAATGTCTCAACAACAACGATTAATAGTCCAAAATCTTCACCATTAACTAAAACTCGTTCTCCACCAAATTTTTTTCTTAACAGTAGTCAAATTCTTCGTTCATCATTTAGTCGACCAAATGAAAAACCATTACGTGCTTATCATATGTCAACTATAACAAACAATGAATCATCATCATCTAATCGACCATCACCAAGAACAAGACGATTATTTAGTTCAAATACTGATCTTGAATCAACATCAGTAGCATCACCTAAAAATCTTCGAAAACCACCATCTTCTTGGCATCATCAAAAAGCTCTTACACATAAAACAACATTACCTACTCCTCTTCCATCATCGGGTTTGCATACTAATCGTAAAACGTCAACAAGTACAATTGATTTATGTAAAACAAATCCAATGAACAGTAATGTTTTTCAACGTTTAGCTCAATCTAAACGATTGTAATATGATGTGAAGATTTTCTTGTCTTTTAATTGCTCAATGCATGCTTCTCTTTTTTTTTTTCTTTGTCTGTCTGTTTTCTCTTTTATAATGATCAAATCTATTTTAAAACTAAATTAATGACAAGCAAATTGTATCATGCTTTGATTTTCTTTATATATATATATATTTTTCTCCTTTTAAAACGTATATAACATCAAACAAAAAAAAACAGAACTAAACTGTTAGTGTTAAGACAAAAAAAACATTGCAAAACATGCAAAAATCCACGATAAAAAACAAACAAAATAACAATAAGAAAACACGGAAAAAAATATTAAAGAAGAATTTTTAACGAACATATAAAAATAGCGAATAACACGAAATTAAGTTATATTTAAACACATGATAAAAACGAAGATGGTTTTTTTATTGATAAGAATACGGAATGTTTAAGTTCATGATTGATTATTGAAACTTTTTGTTTTTGTTCTTTCGTATTATCAATGTATGCAAGACGAAGTTTATCAACAAATTGACCAACAGTTGATAAACAAATATCAATCGTTAAATCATTTGAACAAAAATATTTCGCTAAATCTTGTTCACCTTTTTTTATAAGAATTTCTTGTTGAAATAATTTTTCAAATTGTTTTTTTGTTTCTAAAAACATTGATGAAATAAATAATGGTAATTCATACTGATTTTTAATATTTATACATTCATATTCAAGTTGTTGATATTGTTGATAAATTTCATGTATTTCTATATAAAGTTTTTCATATTTTATTGAAATAAATTTTTTTAATTCAAGTAATGTTTTATCATTAATTATATTTATTAAATAATTTGAATAATATTTATTAAGAATTTCAGCTAGAACATGTGCTACAGTTTTATTTAATCGATTTGTTGGTGAATTTAGAGCATCAACTAATGATATTAAATCAAGACCAGGTACACATTTATTTGATACAATATTATATAAATAACATAAAAGTTGAAATACACAAGGTAAATATTCATGATTTAAAATTAATTCAATACCATGAATAAAACGATCAATTGATTGACTTAATAAATTTAATTGTGATTGTAATTCATCACGATATTGATAACATTTTAATTTAAAATTATAATTAGGTATATGAAGAAGTTTTATAAAAAATAATTCAACTATATTAAAGTTATCAAGATTTTCAATATTATATGTTTCAAATTTTATTTTATCTTCTGGTCGTTTTTCAAAATGTTTATTTAATGTTTTATTTAAACGTTGAACACATTGAAGCCTAGATCAAAGAAAAAATTCTATTATTACAATCTTTCTAGCATTCAAATGTAAAATATGATATGACCCTGCTGTTTCTAATAACATAGAGATTTTTTTTTGATTCTATCTATTTTGCGATACATTTCTTCATCATGCTTTTTGTTCTTCAGAAATATAAAAAGAAAATAGTTCATATGTTATAACGTGACGTTATTGATATACAGTCTGTAAATATGTCTATTATAGTCTCTAGCAACTAGCATTTGCCATGATCTGAGAGAGTTCAAATTTTTACTTTCAATACTTTTCCATTCCTTTTTAAATCGTGTTTCACAAAAAATATAATTTTATTATTCTTCTATCAACTGATTGATTGTTTTTGAAAAGATTATTAAAATTTTCTTTTCATTATTGAATACTAGAATACAAAATAGAATCCTATACTAAAAATGGAAGTTTTTTTTTTAACTTATCTTTGATTTCAATAAAGTATTGATGACAATTTAACTACGGACATAAACAATCCAAAAACAAAATCGATCGTTAACAACAAAAAATGATGACATTAAATATGAGACAGTGGATTAAAACATACGGAACTAGGACTAAAATCCACAAATTTTTGCATCCTGTTGACTGACATTCGCACTGAAATCCTACGATGATTGATTAAATTTCAACATTTCATAAAGGACAAGTGGCGTTAAGGCCGTTTTTCCGCCCCCAAAATATTTCGGTTTTTTGTATTAAAAACAAGTCAATGGGGGGGCCCCTGATGATATTTCAAAGATTTATTTTGGAATATCTTTCAATCGATTTTTCGACTCACATCCGTACTCCCCTACGGGAGTGTCATTTTGACCAACCCTGTGGC